ATGGATATAAAGACCTTGCTAGACAATCTTCATGATGAAGTATCCTGTTCTGTGTGCATGCGTGCAGTCACGGATCCAAAGCAGTTGCCTTGTTTGCACAGTTTCTGTCTTCACTGCCTGAACGGAATTCAAAGAACGAGCAGCGTCCATGGTAAAATTACATGCCCCGAGTGCAGGAGACAGTTTCAAATCCCTGGAAGTGGAAATCCTAGCGAACTTCCCACCAATTTTCGTATCAACAGTTTTTTAGATGTCTTGGCAATAAAAGAATGCAATACAGCAAACGTGAAATGTGGAAACTGCGACAAGCGAAGCGCTCAGACCTTATATTGCTTCCAGTGTTGTTCTTTCTGGTGCGAAGAATGTATGTTAGGACATAACATAATACGCACCAATAAAGAACACAGAACGCTGGCACTGAAAGATTTTCAAGATCAAGACATCGAGGCCGTGTTAAAGAGACCGGCATTTTGTCAGAAGAAACGACATGAAAACAAAGAGTTGGAGTTCTTTTGCAAGGACTGTAAAGTCGCCATTTGCAACACTTGTGTTGTAACACTCCATGAAGGTCATGGTAAGATGCTTTTGGAAGAAGCTACAGACGCGCGCAAGACTCAGATCTACTCCATGACTCAATCTTTAATAGAAAAAGCACAAGAAAAACGAAAAAAACTCGACCAATTGAACCAAAAGAGCACGGGCATTAAACTGCAAGTTGCCGACGTTAAAAGCCAAGTGCAGAGGAATGTGGATCAAGTTATTGCAATCATCGAAGCGAGGAAACAGGATGTTTTTGATGCAGTCAATAATCAAGCGCAAAAATCACTGAAATCTCTCTCACAGAAAAAAAACCAAGTTGAAAATCAAGTGAAATTAATTGAATCGGCAATTGCTCTTGTGAAACGAAGCTTTAGTACTGAAATCCTTGGATTCAGTGAAACATTTGATGCAATCCTGCAGGAACAGGGCACCCAACAAAACCGTGACACTGAATGTATCCCTCGGTTTAGTTTCACTAAAAGTAAAAAACTGCTTAACGTGTTGAACAGTGAAGGGATAGGTAATGTAAAAGCTTGTTTAAGCGAAACTAAAGTGCCACAATCAGGAGCTAAAGGTAAAGAAAGTAGTAAAGTAATTGCTAGGAATAAAAGGACAACTATTCGTGACAGTCCTTTAAGGGCTCAGGTACAAACCAGGCGCTTCAGATCTGTTCTGTCATTTGGACAAAAAGGTGAGTCTATTAGAATGTTCTCCCGGCCCTGGGGCGTAGCAGTGAATGATCAGGATGAAATTGCTGTGACACTCTCGAACCACAGGGTTTCGGTGTTTAGTAGTGACAGTACCCACTTAAGATCGTTTGGTAGAATCGGTAACAATAATGGTGAGTTCCGGTACCCTAGAGGGATCGCTTTTGATAGTCATGGCAATATTGTAGTGGCAGACAGTTTGAACCACAGGGTGCAGGTCTTTGATAGGAATGGTAACTTTCTTGGTAAGTTTGGTAAACAAGGAAGTCGTGACAATCAGCTTAAATACCCTGAAGGTTTATCAATAAACGGTAACGGTGATATTATTGTTGCTGATAAAGGTAACAAATTAATCAAGATATTCACTTCTAGTGGGGAGTATTTACGTAAATTTGATGGAGCAGGTTCTTTGGTCGAACCTTATTACTGTATCCAACACGGTCAATATTTTATAGTCTCAGATGGTGATAATCATTCCATTAAAACTTTTAATCTGGAGGGAAAGTTTGTTTCTAAATTTGGAAAACTGGGTAGGAAAGATGGAGAGTTCAGTTGTCCTCGTTTCTTGTCAGTCATTAAAGAAGGATTACTAATGGTCTGTGATTCATACAATCACAGGGTTCAGTTATTTGAACTGAGTGGAAAGTTTTTTACAAAATTTGGCAGTAAAGGTAGCGGAAGAGGAGAGTTCAAGAATCCAATTTCTACAGCAAGTCTTAGTGATGGAAGAATAGTTGTGTGTGAATTTTTTAACAACCGAATCCAGGTATTTGAGCATGAATGAAATAATCTCGCCTGCGAATACAACCGTCACTCCTCGCTCCTCGACGTTAGGGGCTTTCGCGGGAAACGTACGTCTCTGCCGCGAAACTTCCTAATAGCGGCGAGGAGAGATAGCTGTATTCGCTGCGGGATAGAAATAATCCTAGCTTTGATGTAAGACGTGAGATTCATCAGTTTACTATTATATATTGATTATTAGATCCTCAGTTCATATTTCTGGAGAAAATCAATTTCAGTGTGCGATGGTTTTGTTTAGACAATACTATGAAAAGAAAACTTCAGTATATTGACTATCTAGATCCACAGTTTATTTTGTGAATAAAAAGCAATTAATTGAGATAATTTTCTCTTCCATTGTAAGCTCCCATTATTACTAATTTGCAAATACTTAACTTCCTTTGTAGAAATATTATACTGTTCAATATTTAAATAACATTTTTGAAAGTGTGATTTTTGAATATGTTTTAACC